AAACGACAATTGAAGAAAAACAAACGTAATTTAATTTAACAGCTTGGCCGACCTGAATCATGCACGCGCATTGTGTGTGCATTTTAATTGTTGCCGACACAAAAGCCCATGCAGATAATACACGCGGGCATTGAGTCTACGTTTATTTAACAGCATGCAAATCAAGAGAGGGAGATGATGAATGCGTATTAAAATTTCATTCTCTCTAATGGTCGGCGTGTCCTCGATTTTTTTTTTATTCCGAACAATGCGCAGACAACTGAGAAATGTTATACATTATTATTATTATTGTTGTTAACTCGTATAAGAAAGAAGATATCGCGCGGGCCGATTATTCAGTTATGATAAAAAGCATAAGGAAAAGCAGCGAGGTGACGCATTTAGAGTAGTGCGCACGGAATTTTAATTCGCGCCTTTCTGTCATTCTATTGTGCGTGAAAAACTGCTTCGGAAATTCCTGTGGATGTCACATACTTTTATAGGATTCAACCGGAAACAAATAAATTTTTTCCCTAAACATTAATTTTGTATAATTTCAATTCTACATTAATCTATGATTTACTGAAAATAATTTGTTAATTATTCATTCTTCAATCAAGGAAAATTTCCAAGAAAAATTATAATCTCTGTATTTAAGAAAAATACTAAGAAGAAAGATAAAAGAACTCATTCAAGAGGACTCAGATTGTCGGATTATGAGAAGCAGAAAAATTATTTTGCTCTTATCTGAATGTGAGATGAATATTTTCAATTAATTAAATACGCGCGCAGTTGTCGCGAGATAGGAAAGGAACCATGACATTGCGCTTATCATCCATCACCAGATAATTGCGACAATGATGCGTCAATGCGATTGGTTTCAGCGGAAATGTCGCAGAGAGATTACTAAAATAGAAACTGTCTCATTCATTCATAAGTTTTCCTCATTGTCTGGCAATTAAAGTTTTGAAAAGGAAGACAACACATAAAACTACGAGAAAAAAAAATAATGTGGTAACTTTGAAAATTCCAATTTTTCAATGTAAAAAGGATTTATAAAAATTCTATAAACAGAAAAAAATTTGAAAAATATATTAATTGAAAAGAAACCAGAACAAAACAAAGTTATTTTTTAGAGACTTTAAATCATCGATCAAGACAAAAGCGGATGAAAGGAATAATTGCAACGAGTTTCAATTTTTTAAAAACTATTTTCGATTTAAATTTTAATAGTATCATGAATTTTCTTAAGTTTTGCTCGAAAAAAAACCTGTGCTATATAAGAATTTTTTATTACAAAACGTGCAAAAAATTAAATAAATTAAAATAACGTCTATTACAGGTATTAAAAAAGTACTGATTTTAAATCACATTTTATCTAAATCGTTTTTCCCCTTGGCTGTGGTAACTTTAATTACAAGTCGGCGCACTTTGATCGCTAACGAGTAATTGTTGCAAGTGCACAGCAAACAAAAGCCGCGCGATATAAAACGCTGCACATACAAAGACCAACTTTCTTCTTCTTAATTCTGTTATCCAGTTAGTTTGCATTAGCAGGCGGAATTGATATTCAACCCACACAATCCTTTGTAATTAACAACTGGGAGAGCGAGATAGAGCATGAATAAAAAATACTAGCGATAATCTTGAACATAAAACGCGAGATGCACCATCAAGATCGACGACCTGCACATAAATATCTAAATGGGAAATTTATATATATTTATATATTCTTTTTCCGTTCGCACTTGTGTCCTTAAAGTGTACAACATTGTATGGGTATTTATGTGTTATGTGGCATTGGCGAGTTTATTGCAGCAAGTGCATCTCATTGACTAGCGGCGGCGATGTGATTGATTTCTGCAGATTAATCAGATTCAATAAAATAATAGCGGACTGCATTCCTTGAAGTCGATTTGTCTCGCATCGCACTAATCGCCGGCTCCGCGAGACTCATTAAGGACGCATTAAATTATAAGATTCTTTTTTCATGCTCGATTTGGAATTTATGGGCATTATTTGTACAAGAATGAGAACGGAAAAAGAAAAAAGGAAAACTGAACTTTCAAATTGCTTAATGCGTAATTACGTGAAATTGCGTGAAATGACCAATTCGTGAATTCGAAGAAATTATAGACTTCTTTTGAATAAATTTCATGAAATTGAATTTCCTTCATTTTGTTAATAACCTTCATTCTTGTAATTGCTTTTCAAACTGTTAAAAATTCTATAATTAATTAAAATTTTCTAGCAATTGATTAAATATGCTTTAAAATTATCTTGTTTATTTCTTAAATTAAGTTAGAGTTTTTGCAACAAATTAAAATAATAGTATCAAACAATTTAAAAAAATTTAAAATTACAGAAAACTGATTGTGAGAAAGACATCATTCATGCATATTTATTCAAATTAATTAAATCTTTAATGGACAATCTCTGCAAAATAAATTATTTAACAATCTACTTTGTTCCCAATAATTTATTCCCAATACACTTTCTGTAAAAATGAATTTTACAATCAGTTCTCATGACAAAATTACACAATTTATAGAAACAATGATATAAAACTGTAAATTGAAATTCCTTTAAAACAATCTAATCAAGCATAAATGCACTTGTGATGGCGTTTTGTTTTGCACGATTGCACTCCAAGTGCACTCAGGTCATCTGCGCGCTCTTCATGGAGAAACATAACTGCAACACGCCGAGATCTATCAATATTCAATGTAAAGTAGCGGACTAATGAAAGAGCGGCGTATAGACCAGAAGGATCGAACTCGACATTATATGCCCACTCGTGCTACATACAAATAGAGCTAGACCATTATAATAAACGCGCGCGATTTGCAATTCCAACTGTAAATTATTGTTTGCGCACATTGAACACCATATTTATGCTCTCGCTCGCTCGCTCGCATGTGCATGCGATTTCCCTCCTCGTCAAATGACAATGATGCATAAAAAGAATATAGTATAGGTGACAATGATCGCGTTTTATTTCTGTGCAGCAGCACCGGTAATTGCACTTCTCTCGCCGCGTCGCCGTATGTAATTTGAAATTAATGCAGTCGTGACTTCTTTCGCCAGCAAACACATCAAGTGCGAGAGCGGAATTTTAATTTTGTTCTCCGTCAGCGAAAGAGAGATCAGTTGCTGGAATTCCTATTCAGATTTATTTTATTATGCGTTTTGATTATTCGATTGCGTACATTATGAACTTTACAATTGCGCGCAATTTTGTGAATGGAAATTTTTAGTTCTAAAAATAAATTTTAGGTCGGTTCAACGATCAATTATTTTAATTTCCGAAACAAACAATTTAATCAGTAAACAAAGTGTTCTATTATACATAAAAAAAAATTGTGCTCCACAAAAAAATAATTGATATTTATGTTCTTTAAAAATTTAATCTAATTAATAATTAAATTTGTTACATACAAAATAAAATGAAGTCAGTTGCAGTGAAATTTAAAAGTAATAGAAAAATGTAAAATTAATCAATATATTTTGAACTAAATCTTCCCCGTGGAGACGTTTTTACATAAATAGGAATTTTATTAATTATAAATACAGCGCTCACGATTTCAGATGGAAATCATCAAGTATAAAAGTTACATATTTGCACGTACACAAAAGTTAAAATCTAACTGAATAAACATTTAATTGATTTGAATCAAAGTTAATACATAATGGAATTTTCTACGAAGAAGAAATCCAGCAGTTTTCCTTATTTGGGCAATTAACTTTTATAACACGGCTAATGGAATTACAAAAATTAGCTTCTATGACGTTAGATTAATTGGAGTGTGTTTGATTAAAATTCAAAACAAACAATTTCTACAAATTCCTCAACGTTTTTCCCTACTATATTTAAGTGTCGCTTATGCGTAATTCAATTGCAGCAGTTTTTCACTTCTATTCATGAGACAATGCATGGCTTCCGGATAAAAATCAGGCGATATTCTCGCAAGACTCAACGTTACGAAGTGCGGTTTGAATCATTCCCCAGCTCCGCGACCGCATTTCACTCTTCGTGTCCAAAGGAAAAGGAAACGTTTCCGCACTCGCATTCGTAACGAATAAAGTAATTCATGACTATTTTTATGAATGAAATTCTAAATTTATCCTCCAACTTATTATGCACCCATACGTCACCCTCATCAAATTATGCGGAAAGAATAAAAATAAAAATATAATTTGCAGTTCATCATGTTGAACTCGTTTTCCTGCATCACCTGCGTGCGGAATTGCAGAAGAGCTTAATTATATAATTTCATAATTATCGAGAGTGGAAGAGAGAATAAATAAAACGTTTATAATAAGCAATAATGTTGATCAACAGCAAGGATTGACGACGTCATGTACACATGCAGCTACCAATGAAATCGATAAAACGAATCCATATATTTTATTTTTAACTTAAAAATGCACTTTTTAATTTGAAAATAATTTTAAAGAAATTTAAAAAAAAAATGGATATTGCTATAAAAAAGGAATGAATTTAAATAAAGTCATGTACAGAGTTTCAATAATAATTTAATTTATTTTAATGTATTAAAAATTTAATTTAATTTAATCCATTTAAATACTAAAATAGGTCTCAAAAGTATTAAATAAAATAAAAATAACCTTAAAATTTTGTGCTTTTAATACATTTAATATCTCAAAATCTCAATATAAATTCCTTAAATTTAAAAAAAGTCAATTTTATATTTGTGATGAATATATCTTTTAAGTTAATGAAGGATCTAGATTACTAGTTTAATTAAAATATTTGACATAGTGTAACAGAATTAAAGCTACAAAAAAATTAAAAATATAAAACCCGTCAAAACATCAATTTTCAATTATTTTGCTCAATATGTTTCATCTCCTTAAAAATTATTAATATATTTTATAATTAATGAAGATAAAATTCAATTTAATTCAAAAATCTTCTCCGTTCGAATTTCATTTGATAAATTTTAAAAATAGAACTCAAAGCATGATTGTCATTAATAAGAGAGAAATTGAAGACTGACCTGCATGTGCACGTAGGAATCCAGGTTGGCTACGGGGGTGGAGGACGAGTTGTACCAGAAGGGGTTGGTGTGCAGAGGGTTGGGCACGATCTGGTCGCCGAGGGCGCACTGTGACGTCGGGGGTGGCGGCTTGGGGCGCACCAAAACGCAGCAAGATCCCGCATCCATTTGCCCGAATCCGGGCCCTGAATCCAACTCGCGGCTCGCCGACCGAAAACAAGCGAAATTTATACTTTGGCTGCGGCGAGCGAGCACCTGTTGCGCAGCGACGGCGGGTCCACTGCTTCTGTACCCTTTGGGCCGCGCGGAGACTCGCGAGCCAGCTTCGCCGCCCCTCCACTGACTTTTTGATTCGTTGATGAGAGAGATGCACTCCTCCTGGCCAACACGCTCATTCTAACGTTTATTACCCCTTTGCCTGTTTTACAACAATATACCATTGTTTTATAAAACATATTGGTATAAAAAAAGTCTTTTTCCAATAAACTACAAATTTCTTGTGTCAAAGTAAGTAATTATGTAAAATGTAAAAATTTCAATTTTTTTATTACAAATACATGCGCAAATATAAATTTCAAAATACAACTAAAACAAAAAATATTTTTTTGATTGTACTATATTTATATGCATTAAAAAATTACTATTTTGTAAATTTATAATCAAAAAGGTTATATAATTAATTTTAATGTATTTAAGACCCTTCAACTTATAAGTTTACGTTAATTTGAATATTTAAATAAATAAATAAAACTTTTCTTGATTATTTAGTATTTGAAGACTTTTTTTATTTTAAAATATCTTACTATTTATTTGCTTTCACTTCTCTCCTTAATAATGAGGCATAAAAAGATCTGCACTGAAAGGAGCGAGACACTTTAAATTTGCATAAACACATTTATCTGAATAATTATGTACTTTGGAGTAGGTTAAAACACTACTTGTAAAATTTTATTTTTATAAAAAGTAGCAATTTTATTTTTGATAGGAATAAAAAATGCTTGGGCTGTGGTCCAAAGTTGTAAATTTTTTGAAAACCCTTTTTAAGCAATTAACTGGTGTCTAATTTATATTTGAGAAAAGCGCTTATTTACGGAAAAAGTCAAATTATTTTATAGAATAATTCTTTCGTATCAATTTCACAGTGCATAGATTTTAATTTTCTCGTGTTCATTCTAAAGGTTTTCAACTCCAGTTCATTTTGCTTGAATTGCAATGAGACGTGGAGTCTGATTAATGAACACCGCCTTATTTTCACGCGCTGCATGCGCGACAACCAAGTAACCAACGTGTATAAGTACACACGTCCTCCAAAATGCAATTTGATCCTTTTGCCGGCATTAATTTTTCTCAACGGTGCGAGCGTGTCTTAATAAATAAAGCCGGATTAATTTTCAGCAACATTTATCAACTGACTTGAGGCTGAACAGGGCAAGAGGAAAAATGGCACTCGCTCTTTTTGCAAATGTGTGCCCTCCCTGAGATTAATTTCGCACTGAAAGTCAGAGCTGGACAGGTTGTTGCCCCCTCATAAAATGTGTAAAAAAAGGAAAATTTGGTAAATTTCTTTAAAATATAAAAAAAGAATTATACACATTTGAATTTGGAAAAAATTGAATTATTCATCAACAATTGTTGAGCTTTACTCAGCTGTAGGCTCGAGAAATAAAAAATTTAAAAAAATCCTAATTTCTGTAGGCCAAATTTCAGAACTTTTTAAGAATTTTTATTTTAGAACGGCCATAAATATAAAAGAAAACAGATATTATTTTTTATTTTAAAATTCTAGAGGCTTAATTTTCATTCATATTTATATTTGAATAAAATATGTTAGAACCTTTGTTGATATTTTTTATTAAAACAATTTCCCAGCTTTTTGAAAATTAAAAATATACCACGTTTTATATAAAATAAATAAACTTTACTTTTATCATAAAAGTTAAATCGAGGGTGATGTCATCTTCCTATGTAAGCTGGAGTGTTGCAATATTTGTCCAATTGATAAATCTTGGTTTATAAAATCCCGATAAACCCCTTTTACGAGCTGAAGTGTTTCAGCTGCAAAAATTCACTCCGACTGCATCTTTCTCTCGCTTATACCAATGTTTGATTTTTTCACTCTTCTGCTGCTATCATAAAATCCATAAGCCCATCGTAGAGAACACATAAAAATATACTGCCGTGCGCGCCGCCGATAAGATAGCGTACATATAGACGACTGATGTCACATTTAATTCATTTTCCTGCAGCTTCTTACTCACAGCGCCGCGCAGTTTTGCCGACGACTCTCTGTTCAAACACTTCACGTTATGAATCATCTTGGAAATTTCTGGTGAAAGGAGTTTTATTAAAATTGCAGTGCGTGTAATCTTAATTGTATAAGAGAGCTCTTTATTAACAATTAGGTCTAAGCACTTATCTTACAAGTTAAAAGATAATTTAATTGCCTGTGAGGAAAATAAATTCAAGTGATTTTTCCTCGAAATTATTTTTTTTTTCACTACAGCTCAAGATATCTTTTGGATTTTATTCTAACTTGAAAACTTCAATTTAAATTGTTTATTTACATGAAGTTGCTGCAAAAACGTTTTATACCCCAAAAATCAAGAGTCCAACAAATATTTTTGTTTCCAACAAACGGTATTAATCAAAATTGATGCAAAATTTTCAGGTATTGATTCAAGATTTGTTTATATAAACTTAATTTTTAAAAAACGCACAGAATATTGGAACAATAATTCCCCTTGTTTATAAGGTTTATAAGTAAAATAATGCCTATATGGCCTATAATGCATAATATAAAATGCAACCAGCAACCCAAGCACAGCAAAGAAAATTTAATTTTGCCATTTTTAATTAAAAAATTTAATTTTCATCCGCGAGAAAATTGCATTGCAGCCAAATATTTCCATATCTGAGATATAAATTAGCAAAAATATAAAATCGAAGCTTTAGTTTTGTTTCGCAGGTTGCATAGTCTTCAAATCTACAAAGGAGCCCATTGAACGGAAAGTTTCGTTAGGAAGAAGGAAAAAGATACTGTAAATCTTACATAAGTAACACGAGATCATTTTAAATTTAAAAACGTTGATTTACAAAATTCTGGGTGGCATGGGTTGAGCGTATAGATAATTGAAAGCTTTATAATTTCTCTTTGACTAAATGATTGAAAATTTTGTATTTAAAATTCAAATTTTCTTAATTTCAAGGACTTTTTATTACTTTGACAAGTAAATAATTAGCGAATTTAAAAAAAAAAGATTGTTTGAATAAGAAACCGTTAAATTTAATTAACCAGAGTCACAAATTCGTGTTAACTTCCAAAGCAATTTTCGTTGTTTATGTTTGACTGCCCAGTAAAATCGAACCTGACAGGGAAAGTTTTTGAGAAATGTACCCAAGAGCGAGCGACCACACCATAAGTATTAAAAACAAAAACCGAATAAACGCGCGCGGCGACTCTCTCTAATTCAGCTGCGGCTCGCGATGATTAATGGTGCATAAAATCGATCGGAAAGAAAATTACATTCTCCTTTCTGTGGCGCGCGAAGTGCAGCATAGTAGTGCGACCGCGAGCATGAGATCACCGTAAAGTATTTAATTTAATTGCGGTTTCGCGCACAATATTCGCAAATCAGATTCAAAATGGCGGCGGTGCCCATATAATACTATCAATCTGCATAACAAGCGTGGAGAAAAATATTATTAATCAGAGTTAGCGCGCAGAGACTTGGAGGCAATTTCTCAAAATGACGTGATCTCTCGCGCGCATATCATTATTGTAAGTGGCTGTTTTGCTTGCAGTACTAAAAAGTGTGTTTGCGGATCTGGCGGTGTATAGATGAGAGGTTACACACATGAGTCACTCTCGCGGGCAGCGAATTAATATTCCAGCATTGACTTGGAGAAATGACTCATGTATGCTTTTTGGCACCTGCGTTGTGCACAGTGCGTGCCTTTGCATTGCAAATTGATAACATTTTGGGCCACTAAATTATTGGCCTTAACAAGGAAGTATGTACCAAAACAAAAGAGCTCACACACACGTGCACAATAAATATTATGGTGATTTTCATTCAAATTGCCCAAATTAGGCGCATAATCGTTTTTTATTGCACAATAAACGTCCTCGTCCGTGTAATTTTCTTGTTGTGAGGTCTTTTAAAAATTGACACCATATCTCATTTGAATATTAAAATATTTATTCTTGCATTATATATTTAAACACCAGAAAAAACTGTAAAATAATTCTTATTTGCATAATTATGGAATGAATTGAAAAAATAGACCATTATCATATGTCTTGAGGTGGGATATTGAAGAAAATTTTAAAATAAACTACAAAAAATTAAAGAAATATTTAAGCAAAATGCAGCCTTCAAAATACTTTTTGGAACATGGCTTTATCTTTGGTTAATTTCAGCTTTTGCAAATCGGCAGGCACAGTTTTTGAGCTCAGGAGGGACAGATTGGCCGCTTCCATGGCCCAAGCGACGGCCACATTCTCAGGCCATTTCTCGCTGGCGGCCACAATCAGAGCGGCGGCGAAACAGTCTCCTGCGCCTGAAACGCTCACCGGCTCCAGATTTGGAGTGTCGATGGGGTAATACTTAGCTGTGACTGGAACGTCAGCATTCTGCTCGTAGAAGCTCTGGAACGGGTGCTCCGCATCGTTCCGGTTCACAACCAAGCAGCCGTGGCGTCCCAAGGTGATCACCAGGTTGGCCACACCCTGGTCGACCAAGAACTTGGCCAGCTCGGCGCATTCTTGAATGTCCAGAGTTTGATTGACGAGAACGGGAGCAGCAGCGCCTGTAGCGTTGACCATTTGTCGAAGCTCCTTCAGGTTGGGTGAAGCGAAACTCAGGGTTTTCCACAAAGGCGACGACTTGACCACCACCTGCGCCCTTCTGGGGTCTGTCGGTTCAAACCAAACGGGAATCTTTGTCTGTTGGCAAGATTCCAAAATCTGGCCGATGCTCTTCTCAGGAACGTTGGCGTCCAGAACGACCATCCTGCTGTTCTGCAAACGCTGCCTCTTGATCCAAGCCACGTCTACGTTGGACAAGACAGCGTCGTCACCAACAACAAGTCTGCACTCGCCTTTTGCGTCCAGCAAAACTTCGTAGGCTGCAGAGCTGAGGCCTTTCATCCTTCGAACGCCAGAAGTGTCCACAAATTGGGAGGTCTGCTCCAAAATCAACTCTCCTGTTCTGTCTTGTCCCATGGCTGAGACAAATAAAGGCTTAAAGTTGTGCTGAAGGCTTATCTGGAGGTGACCAATCGCTTCTGCGAGGTTTCGTCCCACTCCTCCAGCACACTCACTTATAACTCCTGGCCAGGTTGCTCCGTCCAGAGTGATTGGAGAACTCTGGACTCTGACAACCCTGTCCACTGCACACCCTCCAACCACCGTAATCCTGCCACCTTCATGAGTATTCACATTGGACAACTGGACGCTGATTCTGGCTGCAGTCTTAGCGTTGTTCACCACAAGTGCTTTATTGATGGTAAGGGCAGCACCTAAGGTGAGTTTATTCATCTCACCCAGCAGAAAGGGCGTCAGGTCTTTGCCGGACACTCCTTGCTTTTCTGCATCCTGGACGGCAATTTTGATTGCTGCCTCCATGGCGGCGCTGTCTCCAGCCGACTCTTCAGGAACGGGAACGGCAAAGATCAACCCTGAGCCTGTTCCTTTGTAAATTTCTCCCCAAGCACGCGCAAAGTCGGCAGCTTCAACGTAAGAGGACACCGAGTATGGTGACTTGCAACCACTCTTGGCCCAGTAAAAGGCGGGAAAGTCATCTGACCTTCCGATGGTGATGACACCAACACCCTGAGTCTCCAGGTACTCCAGGGTTCGAGGAATATCCAAAATGGCCTTAGCACCGCTGCAGACCACAATCACCGGAGTCCTGCCCAGCTCGACAAGGTCTGCACTGACGTCCATGGTGTTCTCCACCCCTCTGTGTACACCTCCGATTCCTCCCGTGGCGAATACCCTGATTCCGACCGCGTTCGCCACCATCATGGTGCCCGCAACCGTTGTCCCACCATTCAATTTGCGACTGATGGCCGCCGGAAAGTCTCGACGAGACACTTTGATGGCCGGTTCTTTCTTGAGCGCCAACACCTCCAGCTCCTCCTTGGTCAGGCCAACCTTGATTCTGCCCTTGACGAAGGCGATCGTGGCCGGAAGGGCGCCCTCCGCAGAAACGGTCTCCTCCAGTTTGAGGGCGGTTTCAAGATTGTGAGGAATGGGCATGCCATGGGTGATGATGGCAGATTCCAGGGCCACTACGGGGTGTTTGTAGAAGAGGGCTTCCTTCACAGGTGGCGAAATGTCGATCAGAGTTTGGCTGATGGAGCGACGAGAGTAAAAGAACAGGGGTGAGAAGTGGTGCGTCGCAGCAGGCGCTTTCATCACCTGCCGAAGCATGGTTGCGGCCATTTCTGAAAAATAAATAAAATGAAATTATATAAGAATAAATAGAATAATATGGAATAAAAAAATTTGGTATTTTTATTTTTATAGGCTACATTTCTCTATAAATTTGTATTAATAAGGTAGAGGGTTGCTAGGCAAACCAGGCACAAGATAACTAATTAATTATGTATTTTGGGCGCGTGTGAATGAAGTGAAGAATAAAGTATAGATATTTTTACTGCCAAAAATGCTAAAGATAAATTGATAAATTTTTGAAACAAAAATTTTGAAAGAAGATGCAGACTATTTTTACTTTAAATTAATTTTTCTGATAAAAAAATAATTAAAATAAATTAAATTACTCAAAACAAGTCACAATAGAATTTCTCCTCAAAAATCGGTACCTTTCAAAAGAGCACCCAAAAATCTCCAATATTATTGCTCTTGCCAAGGCGCTCATGCTGTTCACAAAAATAAAGGTTCTTTTACCAAAATTTGCAAGTTGATTTCCAACTTCATTTCATTCAATTGTAAATAGGAACACCCTCTATACGGGCACGAACACACTAACCACAACAACAAACCCATATGAGTGGTTGGAGGAGCCGGCGACTTTTATGTTTGAAATCGTCGCTTGTTTGTTTGTGGACTCGCATCATCAGCATGATAGTAATAATTCACACAGGGAAAAAAACGAGTTGGCCGATAACGCGTGGATGTGAAAAATAATGCTTACGTGTAGGTAGAAAAGGCAGGGTCGGACGGCGCCGTGCGGACAGTGCGTGTCACAAACTCTCTTCCTTCTGTCGCCTGTCACCAATCCTGTCACTTTTCTTCTTCCCTCGCTTCTAAAAATACACACCCAATCCGTGTGCGAGCCTGATTTTCAATTAAAACCGCGATGCAGAACAACGGCCAGAAGGGCGATTGTCAGGATGCGCCAATTATCTTATCGGCGGCCGAGGTCGACGACCGACAACTGCGAGACGGGGTCACGCAGGTCAAGAGTGTTTTCCAACAAAAATTCAACGCTCTGCCAGAGTTTTACGTCCGAGTTCCTGGACGGTATTCGATTCTTATTTAAATTAAGAAATTTATTGATTAAATTTTCCAGAGTTAATTTGATTGGGGAACATATCGACTATTGCGGATATGCAGTTTGTCCGATGGCTCTTCGGCAGCACATCCTTCTGGCCGTCGGGACAACTGAAGAACCCATTTTGAGTTTGACCAATGCGGATGAAAAGTACAAAGATTTCCATACGGAAATTGAAACTCTGAAGTAAGAAAATTTCATATAGAACAAGTAAAATCATAAAAAAATTATTTTTTAAGCAAATTAAGCCATGTTAAATTATTCGTATTTTTTTTTTAAAAATTAAATATTTTGTAATAACAAAATATTAAATATGAAAATATCAGTTTGATAATATTGTGTATTTATTTTAATTTTTTTGAAATAATTAAAGGATAGAGGTGTTGGGAGCTCCTCAGTGGCACCAGTATTTCATGTGTGGGGTCAAGGGCGTTTTGGAGAACGTCCTGCCCCAGAAGTTAAAAGGCCTTCGAGTGGTTGTTTTCGGGAATATCCCTCCCAGTTCAGGATTGTCCAGCTCCAGTGCTCTAGTCTGCTCTGCGGCCCTTTGCACTTCACACGCCTACAATGTAAGTGAAATTTTTTAAATTGTTTTTTTTTTAAATTTTTTTTCTTTAAAATAGGTGAATATTAGTAAAAGGGAGTTGGCCACTTTGAGTGCCAAATGTGAGAGGTACATCGGGACCGAAGGTGGTGGAATGGACCAAGCCATTGCATTTCTTGGGGAAAAAGGTTTGAAGAAGTAGTAATTTCTGTGGTTTTGTAAAATTTGTTTGATTCAGGTTGTGCGAAACTAATTGAATTCAACCCTTTGAGGGACACCAGTATGAAACTACCTCCGAACGCAGTGTTTGTGATTTCACATTCGCTGGCCGAAATGAACAAGGCTGCTACTGCCGACTTCAACTGCCGCGTCATCGAGTGCAGACTGGCTTGCCAGGTGAGAGAGGAAATTGATTAATAAATATTGAGATAAATGTAGTAATTTATATTTAAAAGTTTCAAATATTTTTTAAAATATTGAATTTTGAAGCAAAATTAAAATGGCTCCTTCAAAATCAAAATTTAATTAGTTTGAAACTAAAGAGATTCTAGTTTTGTGATTTGATGTTTTTTTTTCTTTTTTATTGTTGTAAGAAATGATTATTTTAATGTTTAATTTTAAAATGCATTTTAAATTTATGTTTTTACCAAATTCTGTGTTTTATCGTTCAGATAATTGCAAAGTTAAGTGGTCTGAATTGGGAGAAACTGACCAAACTGGCCGACTTACAAAAAGAACTTGCTGCTCCACTTGAAGAAATGGTCAACAAAGTACAACAGCTTCTCCATCAGGAACCCTACTCTAAGGAAGAGGTCAGTTTTTTTATCACCAAACTTTGATTTTTCAAAAGTAAAACAAACGTTGAGGTTGAATGAATTAAAGCGTTTGCTTGGTTGGTCTTGGTGCGAGGCCAAACAGCCAAAATAAACCGCGCGCGCTTCTTTTGGCCAAGTCGCTTTTGAGCGGCCGGCCGCGATGAACGCATTTTCCAAGTGCATCCAGGATTACAACTCGGACAGTGTCCGGCAGCGACTGGATAGACGCCACGCGTCTCTCGACCACTGCCACCAGTTTGTGTCGGACAGGACAAAAATTTTTGCCGAATCGGGGTGTTATGCTAAGTGCGCATCGGCCCTACCTAGACTGACCTTGGGGCCAAGTGACGAAGCCCCCAGACTGTCCAGCGCCGTCCGAATTCACTTTACGCAGCAACTGGGCAGACATTTGATTGCCAAAAGGGACATCCAACCAGGTATGTAATTTGCTTAGATTGAAATTTATAAAAAACTAGTCATATTTAAATGATTTAAATAATTGAATTTGAAGATAATGCAAATTCTTATTACAGTTTTTTTTTCTTTGCAAATATCGTTTTTTTATTAAATTTTCTCTAAATATTTAAAAAAAAAATGTTTTGTGAATTTCAAATGGAATTTTTATATTGTGGCAATTAATTAATGTGACAGTATATTTAAATATGAATTTTTACTTGTAATTCAGGTGAAGTTCTAATTTGTGAAGAGCCATTTGCGGCTGTTTTGGCCCCTGAGTGCCGTCAAACCCACTGCAGCCTTTGCATGAAAAGACCCGCTACATTGATTCCCTGCAATTACTGCTCCTTGGTGAGTGATCTCGATCTATTTTGGCGCTAACCTTTCACTACATGCCGTCCCAAATTAGACACACCTAATTAGCAGAAAAAGAAAACCGTCCACCAAAACGTAATTTTCTTTTTGTATAGGCAACCGTCAGGACGTGCGAGTCCAGCCGGCTGCCTAATTCAGACCGCGTGGGCGAGAGACAAAAATATTTGAAGGGAAAAAATAAATAAACCATGTGGGTCGTTTTGGAAAAGGGCCAAAAAAGATATAGTGACGGCAGCTACGTGCGTCAAAGGGGCCAATCTAGAGAACCAATCATATATGTATAAGATTGAATTAAAATTATTTTTAAAGTTAAGTAATTTTATTATAGAACTTTTTTTATTTTTTCAAAATTTTCAAATTTTTAAAACTAAAATGAAATTTAAATTTTAATTCCATAAAATATTCAATTGATTTTATTTAATAATTATAATTTTTGTTTGAAAGTAATTTATTGATTATTATTATTTTTATTTTTAGGCTTACTTTTGTGACGAGAACTGTCGGAGCAACGCTTGGAAGAAGTTTCACGAAAACGAGTGCCGCATCACGACAAAGTTCTTAACTGTGACCACTAACGAAGACAATGGAGAAGAAATTTTACTTGCCATTCGTCTCATCTGCACCGTCGGTCTGGAGGAAATAAAAAGATTCCTCGAAACTTTTCCCTCACAGGACCAAATCTTGGGATTTACGGATGGAAAATACTTCCCAAACTTCAACGCCGTATTTCATTTGGTGACCAACCTTGAGCAAGTTCCCAAAGACTACCTTAACACTGGCTGCAGAATCGCACTACATTTAATAAGGTTGGTTTTTATTTAATTCAATATTAAATTCTAATTGTAAGTTTAAAAAGTACTCTAATGTATTTAAATTTTAAACTGATTTAATTCAACTCAACACAGTTATCATTTCATTATCATAAAAAAAGCATGTAAAATTTATAACTTTCTAGCAAATAATTAATTAATTAAATTTTAAATTTATGTTTTTTGTTCTCGAAAACGTTTAATATTTTCAGAATTTTTAATTCAGTTAACTTTAATTTTAAACATTTTTAATTAGATGCTTCAATGTTCCCGACTCATTTGCTGCAATTTTCCTGAGGATCATCCTTGGTCTTGATAGCAACACGCATTCAATGCGTGAAATGATCAGAGATGAAACTGTAGGACTGAAATTCAATGTGATCGGTTGCGCAATTTACCCCAGCGCCGCCCTGTGCAATCACTCATGCGACCCTAACCTGTTCAGAGCCACCCATGGAAACTACACAGTTCACAGGCAAGAAATTCAAAATTAAAATAAATATATTGATTTGAAACATAATAGTATGAATGAATTATGAATATTCAAAAATTTTCATTCATAATCTTTTTCAATTTATTTTCATCTTTTTAATATTTTCTTTCATTGACATAAAATTTAGAGCAAGGAGGCTGATAAGAAGTGGGGAGATTTTGACAGAGTGCTACAAAAGTCTGTTCATTCACTCACCCACCAAAGAGAGGAGGTCTTACTGCAAAATGTTCTACTACTTTGAGTGCGGCTGCGAGGCATGTGTCAAAGACTGGCCATTGCTGGAAGACTTGCCCGAAAACCCCGTCTTCGGCAAGGGCGAAACCCAGAAGTGGACCGAGTACAAGCAAATGCTCAAAACCATTAGCGCCTCCGGCAGTAATTCAGATCTGCTGTTAAAACAGGATGTGGAGGCGCACATTGAACTGCTCAACTTTTTGGTTTCCAACGACAAGAGACTCTGCCGACTCTCCTTCGAGTTGGAGAAAAAAATACAAAACTACTTTTGTTCTTTTGGAAATTGTTATTTTAGGAGAAATTAATTCGTTGAAAAAAAAAATGAAATTATTTGTGATAAATTTTGGTCCAATAAAAATTCGGTCTCATTAAAGATATTTTTATCTTTCGAAACAAACTCCCGAAAAAAAATTAATTTGAAATAATTCAGGATATGAAATTAAAAATTTCAGATTTGCCAAATTTTGGAAACTTCTGAGGAAGCCCTGAATAAATTAACCCTGAGTGAAAATACCAAGAACCTGCAGCAGTTCAAACTTAACCAAAGAGCGCTTCACGTATACCAAGGTGACTTTTGGTTCTTAGATTTTTTTCTATTGAAAATTAATTGCACAATCAGAGGCCCTGAGAGTGCAAGAATTCTTCAACTGTGGACAAAAAGGAGCCAGTCTGGAAACCCTGGGTGCCCTGATGAATGCCAGTCACGCGTCCTTGAAGGACCTCTACCAGTGCAGCCACCCTGATCTGGACAAACTGGTGACCATTGGCGAAAAATTTCGATTTGGCGCTCGACTCACAGGAGCAGGGTAAAAGTGAGTTTGTTTTCATTTTCTGTGTTTAATTTTGGAATTTTAGATGGGGTGGTTGTTCGGTGGCTTTGACCTCACCGGAAAACGCCTCCGACTTTGTGGTTGCCCTGAAAGAGGAGTTTTACTCGGGTCACCCTGCAGCGATTGGAAAAAACATTGACCGGCTGGTGTTTGTCACCGAACCTCAGGAGGGCGCATTCCTCATTGTGGAGTGAAATTGAGGCGGCTACCTAAAATTTAATAGTCAAGAGTGTTAATCAAATTATTACAGAAATAAAGTGAGTGAATTTTATACAAAAATTATCGCAAATATTTTATTTTTGTCAAGTCAAATTTTATTTGGATTTTTAACAAATGCAACACTCATAAAAGGGAAATTGTTCCTATAACATTACTTGTGTACAATATCTTGCTTTCTAATATCAATGAGATTTACGTTTTGAAGAATCATTACCTTTTTCACATGAATATTTTCCAAAAAAATAAGCTTCAGTTTCAACAAAATACTCAAAAGACAATAATACTACGACTTTCTATTGGCAATTAATTGCGAACGCTGGTTTTATGCCAAAAGATGAAATTCCTATTACGATGGAACTACGTATTTTAAATATTATTACATTTTAAGTTCATTAACAAGTTTTTCAAATGGATAGCGAATGACTAGTCAATTATCTGGGAAAGATGGATATTTACGTCAAAAACGTCGATGGATCTTTTTTTTCACAATGACGAGGTAATTCTAGATTTGTACAAATCACGCATGTGCAATGCTCAATTGTGTTTTTTCCAAACTCGGCAAGAGAAATTTCCAAAATTCTCTAACTCTCAATTCAATCTCACACTTTCCTCACATAATTTCTCCTTAAAGGTTATCACAGTGGACATGCTCAGGAATATTACATAATTTAATCAGTTGCAGATAAGAGAATTTTAAATGTCTAAGGGTCTTCTCGGCCAGTCTTCTTTTGAAAGTATCCTCTCCCGCGCGTCAAATGTTTTCTGAAGGTTTTCGCCGATGGGCCTGATGTTTGTCTTGACCCACTCTTCGGCAGTGTATCTGTCGTACACTGACGACATTGACGTTCGGATGTCTCGTTCTATGTAGAGGAGTTCGGCTCTGAAACGGTCCAACTCGGCAGTGGCGTGCTCGACGTAGGTCGGAGACGAGAAATTGTGTTTTAAGTTGTAATCTGTCATCCAGCCTTTGACAGTTGACTCCTCCTTTAAAATAAAATTTAAAATTTCATTAAATTTTAACTTTTCCAGTTTATTTTAAACAATCAAAAGTTTTAAAAGTAGCATACAGTTGTGTACGGTTAAGTATTAATTACTTTTCAATATTTTAATGAAACATTAGATATTAGATTTCTGGGAAATAAATCACGAAATCTACAGTTAAATTTACCTGTAGCTTTGCAAGCTCTTTCTTCATTGCTTTGAGGCGCAATACAGCCTCGAGCACCTCGCTGCCAGGGTAGTTGCACCTGAGCCCAGCCCCAGGGTATTTCACGGCCATCTCGATACTGCTTTGGCAGTTCAACATGGACCTGGCTTTGCTCAGAGCCATGGCTTCGCCACTTGCCCCAGCCAGGAGAGCCAAGTTGGCTGCCAATGATGGCATTCCAACAGGGAGCAACTCGCACAGGACGGCAAAATGGTCGTACCTGTGAAGGAATATTTTGAAAAATTAAATCAATTAAGATAAATTGTAAGGCTAAAGTCGGGAATAATATAAATTTTATCCAAATATTTTTTAAATTCTGATTAAATCAGACTAACCAATTCAATTGAAAATTATTTGAATTAAATTTTAAATAAAAATTAACCTGAATAATCATTATTTATGAAGTTTTTTTTTGGTAAATTTTAACAACGAAAATTGTTTTCATTGATGCCTTGTGCCCACATTGCTATTTACCAGAAGATAGTTAAATAAAAATATCATACCTTTGCCAGCCAGTCAGAATAATTCCTTGAAACTGAACTCCGTAGTTTTTTTGTGCGTTGTCGGCAACATGTGCCCACGATCTGTGGTTTTCCAAGTGGTACATAATGTCAGGCACATCTTGATCAGCACCAGTTGCACCCTATTAAATTTAATGCATGTAAATTATTATACTTTTGTCAAATGATTTACAGGTACCTTAAAAGCAGATGCGGCAAACACAGGGGAAAGCTTAGCTTCGGAGAGTTTGCTCCAAAATTCGGAGGGCAAGTGCTGGGCAACGTCATTCGTGTACTTCCACACCACTGGGGTTACTAAATCAGGCAGTCCCCATGAACTGAGTTGCTCGGCAGTGGCCTTTCTCAGCTCATCGTCCCAAACCAAGGGCTTGACACCCCGAGCCGCAACGACGCCAGCAATACGAGAGACGTGACTGAGGAAGAGGTCGATTTTGCCCCACCGCTCTTGGCCCATCACTGACACACACCGGGGACAATCACCAAGTTGGTAGACCTATTAATAAATTTTCATATTAATTATTTTTCAATTTAAAAAAAAATGGCTATACAATTTAATTGCTAATCTTTTCAAAAATTCAAAACTTCACATTTCGATGAGAAAGAAATTATTTTAAATTGGGTTTCTTCCACTGAATATTATTTTTGATCAATGAAACAATTTAAAATGTTGCATATTTATTGAAAAGTTGCTAGTTTTTGTACCTCATCACATCCTATGTGCAGTCTTTTGGAATGAGGATGTAGTTGCAAAATTTGGTCCACCATTGTAGTCAAAAGTGGGAAAGTCTTGTTGTGCGAGGGACAGATGGCTTGTGGGTAGCGGTAGACCTCTCTGTTTGAATTTTTTTCCAATTGCCTCATTAAAAACAAAATTTATTTCAAATTTTTACCTAAGTTTACTGTGCGGGCGCAGCTTCAAAAGAAACTCCATGTGACCGAAGGTCTGAATGAGGGGAATGACTTCGAGTCGGCTCTTCTCGGCCAACTTGACTATTTCTCTGATGTCAGCTTGAGAGTAGCAGTTGAAGGCAGGGACGTCAGCAAGTACTCCTGAGTAGGGAAACATGTCCTCGTATTCGATTAATAAACCGGTGGCTCCCAATTTCTTCAATAGTGGAAATAATTCAGCCAAGTACGAAACTCTCGGTGGAGCACCCTAGAATTTTTATTCAAATTACTTAATTTAGACATTGTTTGAGACGGTTTGTACCTTTAAATCTAAATGAACGATTCTTTGTGGTCCAAGAGCTTCAAAGGGTACGGAAGGTTCATAATTGTTTTCCGAGTGCGCCATTTTTGCCGACTGCAAAAACTCATCTCGGAAATTACTTTGCTGATCACTACTAGAGCCGTAGTTTTGTCCAAGAGTTTGCTGCTTAAAATTATTATCATATCACTCATATCATTTGTATTAGAAAATTATTATTTAAATTAAGCATACCACGGGAATTCGATCAACGATGATGGAAGATTCACCGGAGAGGCGGTAGACCACCAGGATGAGAGTGACGCAGGCGACCGCGAAAAGGGTAAAGTGGATTCGCGGCCTGCACCTCAGGAAATTGAATTTTCCGAGAAGGTCAACCATGCTTCACACCTTTTCTCTTAACTTGTGGAAAAACTGCAAAAAAGGGAAAGAATTTTGAAAAAATTTATCATCACAACAACTGAAATCAGACTCACTTTTCAGCATTCAGGCCTGGCCAGTGAGATTTGAAAATTTCGAATCCATATTTTGGTACAAAGTTTCGAACTTAATTTGTTGATAATTCTCACGATTTGGTGCAAATCCGGCCCTAAAAGGGACTTCAATAGCAGAAGGGACCGACACTCGGTTGTAAACAAAATTTATGACGTCACATTAAAAGTCAGCGCTACCACCATATAGCAACTGAGTATTTTGATCAAATTATTCAAATTAAAATAGGAATTTATTTTAAATTGTTCTGAAATAATACGAGATGACTTGTAACAATTGCATATTTAAAAAATCTGCCACAAATTCTCTCAAATTAAAGATTCTTTTTGTTATGTTGGTATACAACAATGGTTGGAAAGTTCTGCATTTATTTTGAAGGAAATCACCGCGTAGCAAGACTCTCGTATGTATGTACTATGAAGACACAGAATTAACACAGCCATGCAATAAAATATAAAATATAACGTTAAATTGTGTTGTAATCCGATCAACTTGCATTACCACTTCACTGTATCTTTTAGGCTTTATATTTTTTTTAGCGTCTGATTATTTGTGATTATTTAGTTTGGATAATAGAATAATAAAATACAACTGGTTAATTTGTTATTTCCATACAATAAATTAATTCAAATTTTATTCATAGCTCGCTGCGAATTCCAGCGCAACAAAACTCGACATGTACAGTTAAAAATATATATATTCATCAAAAAATATTATTGTAATGCTTTCTCACAAATTTTCTCCTCGCAATACTAGCTTTTCAAGGCAAGCCTTGGTACATCACAATGGCACATTTTAATCATCAGTCAAAATTAACATTTCATGGCTCGGGCAAAAAAAATTTCTCTTCAAAAATTAGTGCTGGCCTTTGATTAGTCCTATTTACTTTGTCAGCAAAAATATAAATCTTCTACTGTAAGTACAAGCAAACCAAATACATCTAAAAGGCACACACACCATCCGTCTGTCTATTATGTCGCACAAATTATACAAATCAAAGCATGCGTTGTGTGCGGCAGAGATCGAGATTCCATTCGAAACTAAAACGAGACAACCGAAGTGTAATAAAAAAAAAACTAATACTGGTCCCCGATTTCTCCACATGACAGTTAAACGGAGTTGGCAGTCACGATGGGTCTCTTCTTGGGTGAGTCCAGGGTGCTCCTTCTGCCGGCAAAGTAGTCCTCGATCTCCTCGAGTGACCTGCCTTTGGTCTCGGGCAGGAAGAAGTAGAAGAAGAGCGTGCCAACGGTCGAGATGACGCCGTAGATCCAAAAGGCGCCGTGCACGCCGGCCGTCTGCTGCAGAAACGGGAAAGTCTTGACCACGGTGAACACAAACATGTGGGCAGCGCAGGTGGTCAGACCGCCCAACAGGCCACGCACCCTCGAAGGGTAAACCTCGCCAATCATCACCCAAGGCACCACCAGGTAGCCAATTGTGGAAACAGCCGTAAATCTGTACATAAGGACAATAAATTGAGTTAAGTAGAATAAAAATTAAATAATATTGACTAATTTATTTATAATAAAAGGACTAGAAGTTTAAATCAAGTCCAGTGAGGATTAAAGATTTTAACGAATTTTTAATTAAAAACAAAAACCTAATTAATATGAATACTAAAAATATAAAACGATAAATATAGAGATTTCAAATATTTCAATAACAAAGAATCAAAACTAATTAAAATTACAAAGTATATTTTTATGATTTTGCATGATTGTAGGTGAGAAAAAGTTTTCTTAATGTTTAATTAAATGGGAGCTTGAAAAATATAAAATAAAAATTTTTTTTTTTTAAAAATCAACTCTTCATTTAAATTTAATATTTTTCACTTACCCAAAAATGCAAAGGACAGGAATCCAAGAAGGTGGAGGAGCCAGCCCTGCCAACTTGGCCTCCTTTGCCAGGTACATGTAGGTGCCGAGTCCGAGCATGGTCACACCACAGCCAATGGAAGAGATGAAGGTCAGAGGTCGACGGCCGCATCTCCTCAACAGTCCGCACGCCAGAATTGTGAACAAAAGGCGCACCACTCCAAGAGCAACTGTGGCCAGGTAATCGTCAATACCCTCAGCTGACTCTCTGAACACCTAGATGAAAATGAGAGAGATTTTTATAAAAAAATAAACATATAATAATTCATGCAAGTTAAAAAAAATTTTAAAATGATTTTATAAAATTTTGTCTGAAAAAAATCAAAACGTTTCAATTATTGAAAACCTAAAAATTTAAATTTAAAATAGAATAAATAAATAATAACTTTTTTAATTTAGAAAATCATCAAAATGCTGTTGTAATTTTTACTTTTTTGGTACATAATAAAACTCACCTCAACAGCATAGAAAGTTATAGAGTTGACGCCAGAAAACTGGTAGATGAGGAAGTAGATGACCAGGATGGAGAAGGGCTTGAGGGCGGCCGGCTCGAACAGCGATTTGAAAATTGAGTGTTGCTGCTGCGGCTTGGCAGGGGTGGCATTGGTGGTGGGTGAGTTTGAGTTCTTCAGGTTGGCAATGTTGGCGCGGAAGGCCTCCAGGTCGGCAAGTTCTCGTTCAATGTCACAAGTGTCGGCTCGGAGTCGGTGCAGCGACTTTCGGGCGTTGTCCTTCTGGCCACGGGCGATGAGCCACGCGGGCGTTTCAGGCAGGATGAAGGCGGTCAGCAGAAAGGCGCAGATGGGCAGGGCAGCGCTCACCCCGGCCAGAATTGGCCACTCAGTCGCTGCGCCCCCGCCGTACTCAATCAGCACACCCAGAGAGACGGCCACAGATGCCAGGGCGGCCAGGGTGCCTCTCAGGTGAGGCTGAGAAACCTGACAATGAGAAAATAAAATTAATTTGAGTTTGATTAATTGTGTTTTTAATATATTGTTCAACAATGAGAAAATTTAATTAATTTGTGAAATAAATTATAAAATATTTGAAACTTAAGATTAATTTTACCTATTATTTTTTTCATTTTTTCTAAGACTTCAAACATTTTTTTATTTATTTCGGTGGAATCAATGTTATAAAAAAAATTTGTTTGCAATTTTAGTTCTTATTTAATTCCTTTTCATTAAATAATTTAAAATTTATGGATCAGCATTTTTTAAGTATTCCAAATTCAAAAGAAAAAAATAATACCAATAATTAATTTTTCTATTTGAATTTTCGAAAAGAAATATTAAGCACAAAACTAGAGCAAATTAAAAAAAGTTTTGAACAATTTTTTAATTACCTCTCCAGTGTAAACCCTGGCCGGGGCTCCAACCAGTCCTGAGCCCAAGCCGACCAAAAGACGTCCAGCGTAAATTTGTGGGACGCCGCCTGCGGTGGCGATGAGGAGCCAGCCAGCAATCAGAGGCACTTCCAGCAGCAGAAGGGTCGTCCTTCGGCCTAACAGATCCATCAGGTAGCCGCCCAGGATGCAGCCCAGCGGCGTGCTCAGGGAAGACAAACTGGCTGCAATTCAAAGAAAGTTTTAAAATTTTTGTTTTCAGTAAAATTATTATTTTCAATACCAATCCAAGAAGCTTGGTCTGCGTCAATTTTGATTGTGGAGTTGGCGTGCATCAGTTGTGGAATCGCCACGGCAGAGAAGCCGAACACCATGCCCGTGTTGACTGGGCCCAGGTTGGCAATCAGGGCGATCAGCACCTAGAAAAAAATGAAAATATTAATAAAAATGGTAAAAATCAATTAATATATATTGCAAAATAATTAAATGTTTACATAATTTAAAAATAAATAAATACAGACAGTTCCAATTTATAATTCTTCTATTAACTTTTATAAAATGCCATTTAATTTTAAAACTTATTTAAACCAACCTGTCTGAGGGCACTTCCTCTGCGGGGTCTTCTGGGGGCTTCATCCTCTGGCAGAGGCACTTTGGTCGGGTCCGATTTGGACTGGGACAGGGGCAAAGGTTGGAACCCCAAGGGCGCTTTTGGCGAGTCTGGGATGATCTTGACATTGCCCAGCGGCTTCTCCACCAACGAGCGTGTTTCCTGCTCGTCCCTGCAACAGCAAAATAAAATTTCCCTCATATTCGACATTCATTTGATTGTTAGCCTTCAAAATTTTTTGTAAACAATTTTGATCAAATATTCGGAAACAGATACTTGATTGGAAAAAAAAATAGTCGAAATGATCACAATTTGCTGCCAAAATCCACAACTTGAATTAAGGTTGGTGGTTTATTTTTCAAAATTGAAAATCATTTGTGCAAAATAAATACAAATTTCCTGAATACATAATTCAGGCTTTATTAAATCTTGATTAAATTATATTTTGAATTTGAAGCCCAATATTTTACCCTTTTATTTTTGCGCAACTTATTCCTTCTTTTTTTCAAATGAAAAGCTATTATTACTTAGCAAAATATTTGATTACAAACTTTCTTGATTTAATAATAAAAATTTAATTTAAATTTTGTCCGCAATTTTCTTCTTGATTTTTTTTACGAATAAAAATACCAAAAGTATTTATGATAAGGTATTCAATTTACACTAATATGAAAGCTGTAGGTATAAATAAAGTCTGCTTGTTGTAACGCGTTGCTCAATAACCAACCGGCGAATCCCAACAAATGCGAAAGTGAGAGTCGCAATAGCAAGAAATTGGATCAAAGGATGGATAACATGAATCAACACTATCTCAATAAGGCTTAGGAATTTTAAATTTACACCGACCTCGAAATTAAGCTTTTTCTTTGTTTTCAGCTCGAAAGGTCTGAAAATAATTCTTGGCACCCCAAGCAGTCAACATCTATCTCATCACTGGGTTTCATTAACATTTTGTTTGTTCCAGCAGCCAAGTGCGCTGTTAATTCCGACATTGCGAATCTAAAGCAGCTGCGCTCGCTTTTTATGGTTTTGTCGTTGCAAAGCGCAGACACTGATTAACCCTGCATTATCTCTACCGCCACTTGACGATTACGTAATTATTTTCATTTAAGCAGAACGGCCTTTGTTGCTCATTAGAAAGAAATAGAAATTGAGCAAATTGAGAGAGGTGAAATGAAATGGCACTTTCTAATAGCGTCTAAAAACATTGAGATGAATTTTTTTCATTTGAAATTATATTCGCTATTTATTTAGCAAAAAGTATATGAATTTTTTATAATTTTGGATTAATATTATTATTCATGTAAAAAAAACATAATTAAATATAATTACAGAAATTAACCCCTACGTCTATGCCTTTCCTCCCCAATAAAATTATAATATTTTACCGAGTAACCAAAATTTATTTATAAAAGTCTTAGCGAGTTTCAGCTTTTAATTAATCAAGCGTAATTTTAAGTTTGAAAAAAAGAGCAGGAAGTGTTATATCTAATCACTTCAAGCGTCCAACAGCTGGTAGATAAAAAGTTATTTTGACGCCTTCATTTTGTTCTGAACATGAAATTAAATTATGTTGAAGAAAATTTATTGCTCTAAAAATATTAATTTGAAGTTTTAGTAAATCTTGCATTTATTATCAGTTTCAAATCGCAAAATGTTGCGTTCTGAGCATTGATTTCTCTTTCGACGCCCACTTAACAATTGCAGTCCTTGACCGTGTGTGCGAGAAGCCCCTTAACCGCGATTCAATCTCGTCTGCGCAGAGATGCACATAAAACGAATTGCGAAAAAAAAATCAGTCTGTTGCTTTTTGCCGTCGATTCCGAAAAAGTACTCACAGCATTTTGGCGATTTCGGTCGTGGGGTGAGACGAGGTCGTCGTTCTGCAAGGGTCACCTGCTTATTGTCGTTCGCATCGAGCGTTCAGCCGGTTGCATAGTCCGTGCGCCGCCGAGGTGCATCCGCGAGCGAGTGCCAGTTTGTGGTGCATCAACAAAAGGCAAGGGCAGCGAGCGAGCGAGCGCGCGCACCGCGATTGCGAATCTTTACTTGCTTGCTTCCCTACTATACGCTAGTAGCGTGGAAAACTTTGCCAACTTGGGCTTTTATAGTGGGCAGCTTCTTGCTCATCGAAAAGAAGCGCTCCCACTTCTCGCTCATCCCAGCTGGTCGAAAGACCAACAGTTTCGCCTGACGACAAGCACATTTTATGAATTACTAGCTTTGATCCAATTCAAATAATTTGTGGCACCCGCGAAAATTGTTCTTTGTACAAATTTGTCGCATTTTTTCGTTACATTGCTTAAGTTCGCAGACAAAAATTTATATTCCTCTAATTTTATTAAAAAAAATTGTAATGCTATTTTTTTAGATCTTAAAAATAAAACTTAATGAAGTTTAATAATTAAATATTCATTAAAAAGGTTAAAAATACTCTGGAATTTTGAACTATCTGTGCAATTTATTATTATCGTTTTTTTTAAATAAAGAAAACACTGGAAATTTATGGAAGCATGAAATTAATAAATTCGACAATTGAATTCCAATTAAAAACATTGCTTGCTAATGAAGTATTAATTTTGTAATTTGATTTTGATGCTTCAGAACAAAAATAATAAACTGTATTTGAAAAATTAAATTTTACTGAATTATTAATTTTTTTCCGAGAATTTTTCATTACCATAAATTTTGAAATAAACTTGATTTGTAGTATGTTTATGTTTTTGTGTATTTTGGCATTTGCAAGAAACACACTCTCGGCCATGTCCTTGCCCGTTCTTCAGTTGCCAGAGTGACGCAGTTGAGGTGAATTAACTTAATTTTATAAGGCAAGGGACTAGAAAATAAATGTCTTATCAAGACCCTGTGTGCTTGCTTTAATTAACTAACCAGCATCTTTTGCAATAAATATTTTATTCTCGGGATGAAATAAAAAAGTGCCGCTTTCTGCTTCAAGCCGGTTACCGAAATTAAATTTTTTAGACCCTCTAGAACCAGCCAACTTTCTCGTCCCGATCGTCAATTCGCATTAAAAATGATCAGAAAAATTCGATTAATTTTCTGTGATTAACGCAACGGTTGTTCAGCGTCGTGGGACAGAATTAATTATCACCGCATGTTATCAATTGATAAACATACGCGCTTGATTGTGAGTGAAAAACAACATTATTTCTGCGGCTTCACGTTTTGTGTATTTTATGCGCGCGAGCATTTGATTTTTGCAGACACCTTTCTTTAAGGACGCCAAGATTCTGACCTAGGCAAAAAGAGAATTAAGGATTTATTTTATTTACGCGTTGCTCGCAGGAAACTGCGCATTAGATAATTTCGTGAGATGGGCACCGCGTTGTATAGAATTTGCTCGAAAGGAGAGTCTGTACGCAAAAAAGAACAAAGAGAAATAAGAATGAAAGGATTGAATTTCGCTTGCAAAAAAACATCCGCTCTACTATACGATTTCCTTTCTCTCAATTCACAATCAGTTCACAATAATTATATTTCGTTCCTCTTTACATTCATGTGAAAATTAAATAATAAAAATGCTGGAAATTTTAATTTATTAAAAAATCTGGAAATAGAAAACGGAAATAGCAGATGAAATATAGAAGAAAGGGCTTTTTTTTTCATTAAAATTTTTTTTCTTTAATTAAAAAAAATGAAAGGCTCAACCTGTTATATTTTTTTCTTTTCAATGTGGACGAAGCCCGTCTTTTATCACTTGATGAACGCGGTATTCTCGAGCTCTTCTTCACTTAAAATAATATGCAAATCAATTATTATAGAATAATATGAACTACTGAAAAACCTTTAATACAGATTATTAGATATTCATTAAAAAAATCTTATGAAAATTTTCTCTTCCTTAGAACTGCTCTAGATTTTTTAGTTTATAATGCCTCCACATTTAGTTCAGATGAAATTTCCTATAATAAATAAGACTTCACTGCCAACTAATTCGAATTTTACTAGCACAAAAAAAACACACCTGAGAGCAATTAGCATCCAGTACAGACGAAGTGACTCATTAGGAGCAATTTCCTCGCCCGACCGGCGGCGATAATTTTCTCGGTGACCTTTTCTCCCTCGGAGCAAGATTCGCCTACTGACAACGACCATTTTTCTTTAACAGGTTTAAGCCACAATAATTGCTCTTATTTCTCAAGGATGCGAAAATTTTATAAAATTTAATTAAGTAATATCACTAAATTAATAATAATAATATTTGAGATAAAAGATATTTTTTATACAAAACAATGGTTTACTTTCATAAAAAATAATATGTATGTCAATTAATAATTTTATTATTATTGTTGTTTCTTTTAAGATGAGTCCATCACTGCAGCTGTGTGTCATTAATTCATTATGTTACAAAACAATAACAGAACCAGTCCTGCATCGCTGAGGTGTTTTTGTCACGCATAAAGGGTAATGAGATCGCTTTTCTCTCCTATGTACTTGTTCATGATCAAAGTACATACATAAACATGCCATTAACAGCGCATTAGAAAGACAAAAATCCGCCTCTTTGAATAAAAACCACGTTGGTGCATTTAAATTAATTAAGCGTGTCAGGAAATCCAGTTTTCCCGACTGCCTTATAAAGACTTCCACGCGGTGTGAAATTTTTTGCAATATCTCCGGCATTTGAATAACTGGAAAATTAGCGCCTTTGCGAAACAAAGAGACGCCGCGTTTTGAAATATAATTTTTATATCTGTCGGAGACGCAGCAAGGTCAGGAGCAATATTTGAAATTCCCTTGAAAACTTAATATCAGAGAGACTTATTTTTAAGGTCGATTTCGTTGCTTTAATTGTGTACTGCAGGCTCGTCCATAACAAAAATCTTTCAAATCAGTCATTAGCTGATAAAAAAACTTCGGTGATAGCATTAAATGTAGGACGTTTGCTTCTCTTGCAATTTGAACCCTTACAATTGCGTCAAAAAACATCACGCGCGTTTAAGTTTTAAGAAAGATTTACAAAGAAGCAGGGTCCATTTGCAAAAAAAAAAAATCAAAACTATATCAGATTATATCAGATTCAATCAATCTATTGTTTAAATTTGCAAGTCCTTTTAACGAATCAAGGCATGTGAAAGATTTTATTTTAACTATTCCTTTTTTTAATATACATCTTATATTTTTGTATAATTTAAATGTTTAGTTTAAAAATGTTTTTTAATTTTTTCCGCCAATAAATTTGCCTCTTGCATAGGCTCTAAAATATCTTCTTTGTAAAAATCTTCCAAATATTTTATTTAATATAAACCATGACAAGGCGAAATATGTTTTTAAAATTAATTAATTTATTTATTTTCCATTCAGATTAAAAAAATTCTTTCCAAATTTCATTTCAACCTCAATTATTCAGGCCGATTTTTATCCCTGAGAAATTCTGGCCATTTTGCCAAATCGGGCTGGCTGTACATTTTATTATTCATATTCCCGCATAATGTGTGCTGTGTAGCAATAGCAATAAAAAATTACAACTCTAAATTGTTGAGGTTGAGTGGAGTAGCTCATCAAGTCGGTGCAAAAGAAACTTGAAAATACATGCTTGAATTTGGAGATGCAGACACGTGCGTTTCTTTTCTCTCCTATTTCCATTTTAGGAATTCACCTGTACCATAACTCGAGAGAAAATTAACATTCGCTGACGTCAATTCGCAAGTTATAAAACCGCCAGCAAAAAGGAATAATAATAATAAAATGTAATTCCACTCCTGACCCGCGTACTTTTTATCTCTCTCCAAAATAATTAAATAAAAAAAAATACCGAGTTTAATTAGCATAATTTAATTGGTCAAGTTTACGAGCGGATTTTGGGGCTCCGCTGGGATTTTCTGTTTTTTGGTGCAAAATTTTTCGATCGGAAATCATACTTATTTTCTCGTGGAGAGGCGAGTACTTGAGCTAGTGTATACATTTGCGGTGAGAGCAGACAATGTTCACGTGACTGCGAGATGTTCAAGTCGTGATTACCACATGTTGTTCCTCTCTCTATAAAATTTTAAATGCTCCTCCCCGCGAGCCGCCGTGTTTGTTTTGCCAAACCTGTTTTCCGCAAAACAATTAATCTCTTATTTCTGCCGCGAGATTATTTTTAAACCCGCGCCTCCGCGTTGACAACAAGAAACAAAACATAAAGAGAGACCATTCTTTTCCAAAAAGGTGTAAAAGGAGCTTCCTGCTCCACGTGGGCTCGCGATTGTGAGTGGTTATTTTCAGAGAAAAAGTCCTGTGGTGGCAAAAAAAATTGTGCGGTGAGCAGGAAAATTGCTCTCAGCCTTGAGCGATTTTGATACACTTGAAAAAATCAGTTCTTGTTGAACCAGACCAGAACTACTTTTATAGATATTGGAGGCGAGAAACCGAGAAAGTCGTCAAATCGTTACGTAACATTTTCTAAAAATAAATTTTCATCTATACAAAAATTAAATAAGAAAAATCAATAATTTCAAATTATCTTTTAAATAAGAAATAAAATGACATAATAATTATGTAAAAAATTAATTTATTACAAATCAATGGATTTAGCAGGATTAAAGGGTCGATTTTCGCATTTTTTTTTTAAATCATAAACCAGAAGATGTCAATAAGATAAGTCAATGATGAAGGCTAAAGGAATCAACTGGAGTTTAATTTTGACATTTTTGAATGATATCACATAATAGCCTGCCAATTTGATGAATATTTATTTAGTTATATTTTTTAACAAAAAATATCATTGGGTGTAATTCAAAATTTTCGTAAAAAAAATTAATTTATAAAAAAATTAAATCTTAAAAACAACTTATTTACACAGCTACAATTGATTTTAAAATGGAGATAATAATTAATACAAATAATGAATTATTGAATAAAATTGAGGTAATAATTAAAGGGGGGGGGGGGGGAATATAAAATAATAGTAGTTTTACTACGTTAACTTCAGTGAATAGCTTATAATTTAAATAATTTTTAAAACTTAGCTTTTTTCTTAAAACTGCATCAAAATTTAATTTATTTAACATAGTCCTCTTGATAATTTCGTTCAAATTGATTTTTCTTATAAGCTGTTTTTAAACTCCACTTGAAAAATAAGACATTATATT